GCTCCGCAAATTTGCCTCCAACCAAAACGTAACGAGTGCGTCGCTCTTATTAGAGGAACAGCGCCCCACGAGTCGGCTTCGAACTAGGAGGTCACGAAAGCTTCGCTCCCATTACCAAAGCGGGGCTTCGCTAATTGGCCTCGAACCAAGGGGTAGCGATTGCTGCGCTCCCATCAGCGAGGCGCCGCCCCTCTCTAATCGGCCTCCAACTCAAGGATTGAAAGCTGCTTCACTCCCATTAGCGGGGCGCCTCTCCGCTAATCGTCCTCAAGCAAGGGGATTGGCAGATAGACTCGGAGCGCAGCTTCGACAATTGGACTAAACCAAGCGTTTACAAATGCTTCGCTCCCACTAGCGGAGCATGTTTCGCGAATTTGCTTCAACCCATTAGGGTTCGGAGTGGTTCGCTCTCATTAGCGCAGCGGCGCTCCGCTAAGTGGCCTAAACTCAGGCGGTCACAAAAGGGGATTACGATTGTTTCGCTCTCATTAGCGGAGCGCCGCGCCGCTAATTGAGTCCAACCCGAGAAATTACGATTGTTTCTCTCGCATAAGCGGAGCGCCGCTCCGCTAAGTGGCTTCGAATCAAGCACTGCCAATCCCATTGTTTGACACCAATTAGCGGAGCAATCCTCCGCTAATGGGAGCGAAGCATTGTTAATTCCTTGGCGGATGGCAAATTAGCGGAGCGCCGCTTCGCTAATGAGAATGAAGCAAGCTCGGTGCACATGGTTTGAAGCCAAGAGGCCCTAACACTGCCCCCAAGAGGCTCCCGAGAACGCTCCGAAGAGACTCCAAGAAGCATCCGAGGGAACTCTGACCCGCAACCCAAGCACGGTGGCTGGATGGGCCGAAGAATTTCGCGTATATGCATACAACGGTACTGCATCGTAGGGCGGCATGGGGGATCTTGATGGAAGACGAGTGCGGATTCTCTCTGCACCCCCTCCCAGAGGCTTGCTCGTAATATTTGTCCAGCTGTCCCCCAAATTGCAAAAAAAACAACAACAAAAAACGTCATCAGGGAAACCTGCCGTCAGACTGAGTCGGGATGCATGTGATGTTGTGTTTGTGTGGCCCCAGACCCCTCGCGCCGACCCCAGCGGGGGTACAGCCCATCGACACCGAGGGAGGCCACCAGGGACCATTCTCCGCATTGGGAGCATGGGTCTGGAATGATTACCTCTTGGCCTCACCCAATCCCAGGGAATGCAATAAGGGACCACTCTCCTGCCCACCTCTCCCGCCAGCCTTCCTGTCCCCTGCCCCCCCCCCCCCCACTCCAGCAACGCCTTGGCACAAAACTTCCTGCGTGCTCGACTCGGATTAAGAACGCGCAGAAGACGTTTGGACACTTCATTCCGACCCCCGTATCTTTATAAGAAGTGGGAGTCCAACTCCTCTGGAAGAGACGGGGGTTGGAATGAAGTATACCGATATCCTCCACACGCTCCTAAGCCAAACGGAGCTCGTAATAGGGTGGTCGACTAGCAGAATGTAGAGGACACCGAAAAAAACGGATCGGATTAAGTGTCAAAGTGTAGCTGTAGAATCCTCAAAATATGGCCACAGAAACAATGGCCTTCGACAATGTGTGTATGGCAAAACTTCTCTGCATTTGAACTTCCGTGTATCATGTTCCTCGACGTCACCATGTGCGACGATCAAGCCTCCTTAGTTCCTCATTACTACAGAACCCCGTATGCCTCCTCTCCTCCTCCTCCTCCTCCTCCTCCTCCTCCTCCTCCTCCTCCTCCTCCTCCTCCTCCTCCCTCCTCCTCCTCCTCCTCTTCCTCCTCCTCCTCCTCCTCCTCCTCCTCCTCGTATTCCTTCTCCTCCTCCCCCGCGCTCACAGACGTCGTCGAGCCCAGGCGGTCCTCCAACGCCTCTGCGAAGGGCGCCTCGGTGCCAGGGCGGCGGACGTCATCCACGTCCGTGTTCAGAATCCCCATTCCTGGGGCGCGCGGGGCCGGGAGGACCTCCTTCGCTCAAAGTGTCGGCGGCAACTTCTGACCTTGGCCTTGGGCGGGTAGGCCTTCCAGCTTGCCCGGTTGCTCGTGGCGAAAAGCTTCGAAGCGCAGCCCTGGCCGCTGAGGGAGGCAGCCACGCCGCTCTGCCTGCCCGCGGCCAGAGGCCGCGAAGCACCGTGTTGGCCGCGGGTGGGCAGGCCGTCCACCTCTCCTTGACGGCAGCTTCGCGTCGTGACGACCCATTCCCTCCTCCTCCTCCTCCTCTCCCTCCTCCTCCTCCTCCTCCTCCTCCTCTTCCTCCTCCTCCTCCTCCTCCTGCCCCTCCTCCTCCTCCTCGTCCTCCTCCTCCTCCTCCTGCCCCTCATCTTCCTCCTCCTCCTCCTCCTCCTCCGCCTCCTCCGTGTTCGCTCCAAATCGGGCCCGGGGGCCCTGACAGAGCGACCCGGCTCGAAAAATGACGCAGAACGATGGGGTCGGGGGCTCCTGTCGCGATTTGCTGAGATGCTGTAATTTTGGTGCAATGTCGGATCTAAGGGTTCCGAAGCCGTGTGGATCGTTTGACCTTGAACGATCTCGGCTTCCCAATGGCGCGGATCGCTCGATGTTGGCAGATTCCAGGCCACTGTACGCGTTCAACCTTGCACGCCCGCGCCGGGGTCGCCGCCGCGTCGACACGACACGAAACTTCGGTACACGGAAAGGCCACATCTGGCCAACGCCTCGAGTAGCGCGGGGTGTCTGCGCCCAGCCGCCAACCCCCCTGGACTTGTCCGCGACGGCGAGGAAGAGGCAGGGCACTGCAGCACCCGCCCGCTGGCGCAACAGGCCTTCCCAGCCCGCTCGCCTCCCCTGCCCCGATTCAGGGAGACTGCAGGGGAGGGCCCGAAGAGCCTTCCAGAAGGACCTGTCGGGCGCGCTCTAACAGAGAGCGCCGTGACGAGCCCCTCCACCTGCATCCGCTCCCTCCTCCCTCATCCCCCCTCCCTCCTCGTCGCCCTCACTCCTCACCCCTCCTCCACCGAGGTCATCCTCCCCTCTCTGCCTCCAGATGAGAAGGGAGGAGAGAGGAGGAAGGAGGGAGAAGTGATGAGAGATGAGGAGGGAGGAAGAGAAGGGAGAGATGAGGAGGGAGAAAGGAGGAGAGGGGAGGAGGAGGAGGAGGAGGAGGAGGAGGAGGAGGAGGAGGAGGAGGAGAACGAGGGGAAAGCTCGAGGAGAGAGGAGAGAGGAGAGAGAGGAGGAAGGAAACATGAGGATTAAGGAAGAGGGCGAAATGAGGAGGGAGGAGGGAGGAAGAAGAGGATCGACGAGGACCGAGGATAAAGGATCGAGGAGGGAGCAGAGATGAGATGGAGGCCCCCCAGGATGGGGCGCCCGTTCGCTCCCTCGAAGCAGCGCTCGAGCGCCCGATAGTCGCCGGACAGCAGGTTGAGGATGGCGGAGGCCATGCTCTCCTCGCAAGAGCTTGGATCACCGCGGGGGGTGCTGAGGTTGTTCTCATCCTCGTCAATCTCGGCCTCTCCTTCGGTGCCTCCTCCTCGTCCTTCTCCTCCTCCTCCAACTCCTCCTCCTCCTCCTCTTCCTCCTCCTCATCTTCTTCTTCCTGTTCCTCCTCCTCCTCCTCCTCATCACCACCACCATCACCACCATCACCACCATCACCATCATCAACATCACCACCACCACTATCATCATCATCATCATCATCATCATCATCACCACCACCACCACCATCATCATCATCATCATCATCATCATCACCAGAATCATCATCATCATCATCATCATCATCATCATCATCATCATCATCATCATCATCATCATCATCATCATCATCATCCTCATCCTCCTCATCATCATCATCATCATCATCATCGGCAGCAGCAGCATCAGCATCAGCATCACCAGCAGCATCATCATCAACATTATCGTCATCATCATACTCATCATCATAGCATCATCATCAGCAGCATCTGCATCATCATCATCATCATCATCATCATCATCATCATCAACATCATCCGCATCATCTCTGTTTCCTCCTCCTCCTCCACCTCTTCACCATCCGCGTAGCCATCATCATCTACAACATCATCAACAGCATCCTCATCATCATCATCATCACCATCAGCATCAATAGCGTCATAATCACCATCGTCATCACCATTACCATCACCATCACAATCGTCATCACCATGATCACCACCATCATTATTATCATCATCTCATTATCAACAACACCATCATCACCGCCATCAGCATCATCACCACCATGATCATCATCATCATCATCATCATCAGCATCGTCAGCATCCTCAGCATCATCATCATCGCCATCAGTGTCATCATCATCATCACCATCATCCTAATCCTCATTATCATCCTCATCATGATCCTCATCATTGTCCTCCTTATCATCAGCATCATAATCATCCCAACCGTCATAATCATCCTCATCCACATACTCATCAGCATCATCATCGACCACATCACCATCGTGAATTACATCATTATAATGTACATAGCTACCTCTACACTTTCAATCATAATCCTATTCCTCTGCATCACCACCACCACCACCATTATCATGATCATAATCATCATCACCATCATCATCAGCAGCATCATCATCATCATTTGCGGTAACAGTAGCATTAGTATCATCATCATCATCATCATCATCATCATCATCATCATCATCATCATCATCATCATCATCATCATCATCATCCTTCTCCCCCTTGTCTCCCTTCTGCCCCTTCTCCTCCTTATCCTCCTTATCCTTCCCTTCCTTCTCGGCCTCCGTCCGCCTCCTCCACCTCCTTTTCCTCCCAGAGGTCCTCCGGAGCTCCCCCCGGAGGTCTCAAGAGGTCACGGGATGTTCCCGGATGCATCCACTTAGATCAACGCAAGTGGGGGGGTCGAGAGCACAGGGGGTGTCACAGGTGGGTCATCGTGAACGGATAGAAAGCGAAGACCATGAACAAGACTGAATGCGGAAACCCCTGTGTCGATCTTGGTCATCCTCCGTCTTGGCCGTTTTCCCCCGTCGACCAGCCACAACTGGGGGAGCTGTGGTCCTTACCCCCCTGGGGGAACCCATCGCGTCGACGATCTCTCGAGAGGGGTGTCGAAATCGATGGGTCCCCCAGAGGGGTAAGGACCACAGCTCCCCAGTTGTGGCTGGCCTGCCTCGTCCCAACATCGTAGAAAATCACGACGGCGGCCATGGATCCCCATCTCTCCGCAGCGACTCTCTCGAGCCGGGTCGATCCGCGGCCCCAGAGAGAGGAGAAGGCATCGGGCGCCGCGGCCGCCCCAAAAAGCGCTCTGTGGAGCGCCCTGAGAACGGTCTGGAGCGGTCTGGAGGGGTGGGGGAGGGGGAGGAGGAGGGGGAGGGAGGGGAGGGGAAAATCGGAGAATGGGATAGTTTCAGGGTTCTCGAGAGGAGGGATGGTGGGACAGTACGGAGGACAGGTAAGGGGTAGGAGGAAGGGGAGGCGAGGTACCCACAGAAGGGATGGGAAAGGGCAAGAAGGTGAGGAGGAGTCAAGGGTAGGACGGGGATTTCCTGGAGGTAAGGGCGTTTCCAAGGAGGGAGGTATAGGAGGGTAGGAGGAAGAGGGGAGGAGGGGGGTTAAGGGTTACGGGGTTTAAAGAGGCCAAGGAGAGTAAAAAGGGAGGGCTAAGAGGGAGAGAGGAGGGGGAGGGGGAGGGGGAGGGAGAGGAGACGAAGAGAGGAGGATGGGGATGAGGGAGAAGGATACAATCTAGGTGCGCTCGCGTCATGTCTGACATCCTACCCCTCCCTCCCATCCCTTACCATGGCGTAGATCCCCTCTCTACTCGCACAGTCGGATGTCGAGCAGGGCAATGATTCCGAAAGGGTACGCGATGCATTGTAGAGCACGGCGTGGCATGGCGTAGAAGAGCACCGCAAAGCGTAGTATGTCACAGCATGGCGTGGCGTGGCGTAGTGAAGAATTGCATCACAAAGCTTTGCAACGCAAAGCATGGCATCGCACAGCGGCCCCGAACATAACATTGCACAGCATGGCGTTGAAGATCAAAGCGTAGCATGGCATAGCACGACGTGGCACTTAAGCACTGCATAGCACAGCTTCAGCTGAAGGCATGGCATCGCGCAGCGGAACGCAACCTAGCATTGCATTGCATGCCGTGGCATGGCACGGGAAATGACGCCAGCGCTGCAGCGGGAGCACGATTCGGAACGAGAGGAAGCGCGAAATGAGGCCAGCGCTGCAGCGGGAGCACGATTCGGAACGAGCGGAAGCACGGAAATGAGGCCAGCGCTGCAGCGGGAGCACGATTCGGAACGAGCGGGGCCCGAAAATGAGGCCGGCGCCTCGGCGAGAGCAGCATTTTGAAAAAAATTGCAGGCGAAAACCCAACTCCCGGGAATTCGTGTAAAAAAATCAGTGCGCGGGGGGGGGGGGGGGGGCGAACACTCCCAACCCGTCATCATGGGAAGGAGGAGAGTAGTATTCATATTGAGTAATTGTGGAGGATGATAAGGGATGAAGGGGAGAGGGATGGGGGAGGGAGAGGAGGATGAGGAGGATGAGGGGGAGAGGAGGGGAGGGGAGGAGAGGCTCCTGATGTACGGGCGTCATCTGGGCCATTAGCCCGAAATCGATCAGCCCCAGGCGGCCGTCGTCCAGCAGCATCATGTTGCCCTGCGCGAGGAGCACGAGGAGGACAAGAAGGAGGAAGAGGAGGAGTAGGAGGAGGGCGAGGAGGAAACGACGAGGGCGGACTCAACGAGTAGTATGGCCACACTGGCCCCCAACTTTTTACGGGAGAGCGTGTCACGGAGGCCGCGCTGAGGGACCGCGCACCCCCTGTGACACTCCTGCCACGCCGCCCTGCGAGCGTGTCACGGATAGAGGCCGCGCTGAGGGACCACCCCCTGCGCACCCCCGCTGGCGTCGAGAAGATGCCGCGCCTGCCGCCCTCCGAGCGTGTCACGGATACTGGCCGCTCCGAGGGACCACCCTCTGCGCGCCCATCCGCTGTGGTGTCGAGAAAGTGCCCCTCCTGCAACGCCCTGCGAGCGTGTCACGGATAGAGGCCGCGCTGACGGACCACCCTCTGCACAACCTCATGTGGTTTCGAGAAAGTGCCGCGCCAGTCACACCCAGCGAGCGTGTTACGGATAGAGGCCGCGCTGAGAGACCCTCCTCTGCGCAACCCCCTGTGGTGTCGAGAAGCTGCCACGCCTGTCCCGCCCTGCGAATCCTACGCATCTGCGTTGTTTGGAGCGCGTGTCAGGTGGGTGACTCGGTCTGCGTCTGCATATGCTGTGTACGTGCATGATGCGTACGTATGCGATTGTATGTGGCCGTGCGGCTCATGTCAATGCCGCGTATGTGTATTGGCCGTGTGTGTCGTGTCAATGCCGCGTTTGCGTTGCATGCGTTTGGTATGTATGATGCACTGAATACACCAAGTGCATACTGGCGTTGTATGGTGTGTGCGCGGCTTTAGGTGCGTGCCTGTCTGGTGCGTGTGTATGCGTGTGTGCGGGTATGTACGTGATGTGTGTATGTGCCTTTGTGTGCGCGTCGGGTCGCCTGCTCGTTTGCGCATGATGCGCGCGCGAGCGCAAGTGAGAAGGAGAGGGAGAAGGGGAAGATGAGGTGTGTGATATTCGCGGGTGGGACGCGGGTGGGAAGAACACAAATACCCAACTAAACATGTGGGGAAAACGATACGCGATGTGCACCAAAAGCTGAATCATGCGCGGGCGCCCCGCAACCGGTTTGCATTGATTCTTGGCAGGGACGGCGGAAGGGCCAGCATATTGCCTCCTGTGTGCAAGCCCACCATCCCTGTCAAAAACAAATGCAACATGATTCCGCGTGTATACACACAAACACAATTCACAATGCTGGCAGACCCGCCGTGACTGCCCATTGGCTTTTGACAGAGATGGTGGCACACTGCCCAATGTGGTGCATCTGGCGCTCGAGGCGCAGCTGGCATGTGCGGCGCACCTCGCGGCGTCACGCACCTGGCTGGCGGCTGCACTGGTTCCCGACGGTTGTCGATGGTCGCCCCCACCTATGCTGAGACTCAGGTGCTACTTATGTCATGGGAGGGCGGGTGGGAGCGAGCGAGACAGCTTGCGGCGTTGAGGCCGGGAATGTGACCCCTCCCCCCATACCCCCCCCCCCCTGGAACGGGACTGGAGGGTCGCGACCCATTGGAGCGTCCAAGAAGGCCTCGGCGAGAATTCACAAACCACTGAAGTTACAAAGATTTTGGGCCCATGTTGGCTCTGGGGGGGGGGGGGGGGGAACCCTAATTGAGCCCCCCCCCGTCGTTTGATCGATTTCTTCCAAGATGACCCCAACATGGCCCCCAAGGCTTCCAAGCGTGCCCCACGACGGCCCCAAGAGGGCCCCAAAAGGCGCCCAGGAGGCCCCAAGAGGTACCCAACAGACTCCCAAGAGACCCCAAGTGGCCCTAAGAGGCTCTCCCGAGGCAACCAAGACGCTCCACGAGGCCCCTGCGACCGCCAAGAGGGCCCCCAAGATGCCCCGAGTGGACCCACAGAAACTTCCAAGACGCATCCGAAGAGACTCCGAGAGACATCCAAGAGGCCTCTGGATTTTCTGTTCGCCCTATTCCTCCTCCTCCATCCTCCTCCTCCTCCTTCTCCTCCTCCTCCTGCTCCTCCTTCTCCTCCTCCTCCTCCTGTTCCTCCTCCACTTGTTCCTCCTCCTCCTCCTCCTCCTCCTCCTCATCATCATCATCATCCTCCTCCTTCTCTTCCTCATCCGCTTATTCCTCCTCCTCCCTCTTCCCCCCTCTCTCCTCCCCCCTTCCCCCTACCCTCCCCTCCCCTCATCCTCCTCCTCCTCCTCCTCCTCCTTCTCCTCCCTCCTCCTGCTCCTCCTCCTCCTCCTCCTTCTTCTCCTCCGCCTCCTGCTCCGTCCTCCCCCTCTTAGGGCACGGCGGCTTCCCCAGCCCTTCATTCAGCTGTATGCTCCTCCACATCCCTGATCAGGGCAACTCGCCTGGGCATCGTTCCTGGATGGGCTGGTGGGCTTGGGAGAAGCGTCTAGAATACAATGATTAATATGTCCGCTTGTCGCGCGGAAGACCCGGGCTCCATTCCCCGCGGCGGGGTTCTTAGCCGTGTCTCTCCAGCTGTCCCGGCCCGCCTCGTGGGGGTCGCAGTGCACGAAGCCAGCGCCCATGAGCTGCAGGGACAGGCAGGGCGCCGCCATGCGCACCTCGGCGCTTCGTTTGGGGGGTGGGGCGGGGAGCGGGGGCGACGGTCGCCACATCCCCTTCCCCTCCTCCTCCGACGCGTCCTCCAACTTCTCCTCTTACTCCAATGTGTTCGCCTTCTCCTCCTGATCCTCATGATCCTCCTCGTCCTTATCATACTCCTGACCCTGTTGCTTCTCAGCCTCCCCATCATCCTCCATCTCCTCCTGCTGCTCCAGGTCTTGATCCTCCTCCTTCTCCTCCCCCTCCTCCTCCTCATCCTCCTCCGTCTCATTACCATTTCCCGCGCACCGGAGAACAACCCTCTGCAAATCACTGCCACGTCTAGTCCTCGACCGCAAGGGCTGTCACCGAGACTCCTGGGAGAAGAATCCACCATCAGAGGGCTTGGACAAGGAGGTGAGCCACAGCAAGCGCCAGCGAGGCATGAGTGTTCGGAAGTGCGACGAGGGAGAAGTGGAGGGGAGAGACAGGAAAGCAAAAAAAAGGGGAGGACGAGAAGGAGAAGGGGGAGGAGAAGGAGGAGGAAGAAGAGGAGGAGGATAAGGAGGAGGAGGAGGAAAGGGAAAAGGAAAAGGAAATGGAAAAGAAAAAAGAAACGAAGAGGGAGGAGGGAAAGTATTCAGGGGTGGAGGGATGGGGAGACGAAGAGAGGGGCGGGTACGGGGAGGAAGAAAGGGAAGGAGAAAGGAAGGAGAGAGGTGACCACCACCTAAACAGCGCAGTGAAGCAACGCGGAGGGAAAAGGAATGGGAATCGCCAGAAGCCGACG